CCAAAAAGAAGGTGATCGCTGGAGGATGGGCACCGATTGATTGCAGCAGGCTGAAAGCATGAGTAAAAATCACTCTATAGTATAAATCATTCCAATTATTCATATCTAGCGTCAGAAAAATTGTCACTTGCGCATATATCAAGATGACAGTACAGGAACTGCATCAAGACCCAAAGGAAGCATATTCTGATCTCGCAATGCTGCTTTCTCCCAAGATGAAGTGCGCAGCTATTTCAGAAAGGTAGTCAGTGAGCAACATTGAAGAAGAACTAGCAAGTCATGAAAGGACACTAACATGCTCAATCGCCTCAGTAGTCGAAAGGATATTCATGTGATCGGGGACGAAGCCCCCATTCTAGTGCACAAGATCAGTGTGGGCTGGATGCTCGAAGAGAGAAGACAGTACCACTTGAGACTCATCAAGATCGCGGAAGGCATGCCGCATATCCAGAGGAAGTTGCGTAGGTATTACAAGCACATGGATGGTCGGAGAGAAAGGTTTAGATATTGCCACCTTCTTCGCCATGGCCTAACATATGAAATCATGCGGGTGATTTTCATAGCAGAGACATGATACTTACCATGACGGTCTGAATTGCTAGAGAGATATCGGAACGTTTGGAACGTGCGTGTTTTCCAACCAGGACAAAGAATTCCAAAGAGCAGTCGATAATGTACACTGATTGCTGAAGTATAGTCTCTGCCGATATCAATGCAACAGCACGAATCTGCATCCATGTCAGGTGCAAGCCAACCGCATGTCATCAAACAGCATACCGGGTCGCCTTCGACTGTGGCATCCACGATCCAGCATCGAGGATCACTGGGAGCAGAAGCATTTCTAAATCTCCAATAGTCTGCCTTGGCGTAATCCCCAGAGTCACCAAGGACCATCCAGAACATCTCGTCATCTACATCATTGTCACCTTCTCGAAGTTCCTTGATAGAAGTCCCTTTCGCGGCGGAGACCTGTGCGTAATCTCGGGCAGCATTGCGTTCCTTCGGAGTTGACCCACAACCATGCCAAACATAAATCTGGTCAAGGATAGAGACACAATAACTATAGCCTGAACACAGGTTTCGGATGCTCTGTAATCAGGAGTTCAACGTTGTTCCAGGTCTGTTCATGCGAGCAGCATACCAAATCCAACTCGTCAATATATATGTATTCCTCGCTCGAGCGCACCACGTGCATTGCTGTATTTTCAGAAGTCCAGTGCGTGCGAGTGCCCTAGGGAATGGGTATTAACGTAACAGCATAACAACAACGTCGTGAGGTATTATGATACCGACCTGCCGGATTGCAATCTTTCCTCCCAGAACATGAACAAGTTCTGGAGGTTCATGTCGTTGGAACACTGTTTCCTGGAAGTCATTTCTATGTTTTATGTCTAATTCTTCCCTTAAAAACATATCCTTACCAGAGCTGATCCATACCGTCTTGCAAGCTCATCTGCCTTCTTCTGCTCTCTCTCGCCAAATCGGCATTGTTTCCCATGCCAGCACCAAACCTTCGTGGAAACAAGCCCACCGTCACGGGCCTTTCCGCGGTGTACAATCACCAAAGCCTCCGTATCGTAGAAAATATGAATATCGCACAGGACGGGAGTCGCGGTGCCGTTATTGATGGATAAAGTCTCAACAGAGATGGTGTGAATATTCGGGTCAGCGCTAAACGTTGGAGGAACAGATTTCAACAGAGCATCCACATCGACATTTGGCAGGGACTCGTTCGTGTGATCTGTCAGAAGAATCGAATCAATAATTACTTGACGCCAAACAATGTAGCTCAACTCACCGATGTGAACAACATCGAACACTAGAGATGAACTCGACGCAGTGCGCTGGATAGTTGGCTTGACTCCCAGACTACTTTTGGAGCTTTCACCGACGAGTTTGGAATCCAGCAACGCCTCCCCAGATGATTTTGCCAATGTTCCTGCTGGAGACGACACAGGGGTCTTCACTTCCTTCAGCGGTGGCATCATAAAAGAGGAGTATTTCTCAATGCTCGACTTCCTCTTCTCAGCCTGAGAACTCAGAATGCCAGGAGCAAGTGGACTCAGCGTGCAATCGTTCCCCTGCTGGGCCCCACTCAAAGCTTGCGCAACATCCATGACGGTGGCGCGATTCCCTGTGCTAGGAGTGCGGCCATGTTTCGCTGGCGAAGGTGAGACCGCGCGCTCCTTTCCAAGAGGAGGTTTCTCCTTCACTTTCTCTGCAGTTTCTGGTGCAGCCGCTAGGCCTGGCAGAGCCAGTCTTCCCACCGTACCGTGCGGTTTCTGACTCGGGGGAGGCTGGCCTGCAGTAGAATTTGAGGATGCAATAGGCTTTACACCAATCAATGTCGGTTCTGTCCAGCGGTCTGTGACACGACCAGTGGTGTTAAATGGTGCGATCGTCAGTGGAAGCTGTGACTGAGGTTCCAATCGAGATCGTATCATTGGCTGGGTGGGAGCAATTGGAAGCAATTGAGTGTTTTTTGTTGAGGTGATCGGTTCTACCGCAATCGGTTGTGGTAAAGTGGCTTTTACATCAAGAGGCTGTCCTTCAGGAGAGGCAACATGTCCAGAACCACCTGTTTTGCGAGGTTTCTTCGCTCTATCCTTGGTTGGCTAGTAATTCAGAAGCCGGCAAACAAAGAAAAATCGAATCACGGCAAAAAGAGTGCGTATTCCGATTAAAAACCATCATATACCATTAAACGAAACCAAGATATCAAAAAATGTGGATATAAAGAAAAAATCCATCAACCATCGATGCGTTGAGCATTACCGGAGAGCACGCACATGACTCAATGGCTTGTTAGGAGACGAAGATACACGCGTCCTCGCCTCACTCCCGTCCGCTTTCACCCCGAGTTCATCAACATTGCGAACGACTGGATCATCACCAGTCTTGGTTGGCTTGATGTATGCAATCATTGTGGTGGATGACCCTAAGTTATGATTCGCGCTCTCTGGAAGAGCACTGGTCTTCCCAGATGCCGTTTTCGGAAGGGTGGGAATGGATACAGCGCTCTTCAAAGGAAATTCTGTGTCGTGTGTTTTCACTTCTGCCTGCCTGGCTTCCGGTGTCCTTCCGCGGTTTGCCGGGAATGGGGTTTGTGGGGGCAGTGATGGTGTTCCAGCATTATTCATTGCAGGCTGCCAACGGTCTAAGACACTTGCTCTTCTAGCATTCTTATCTCGTGTTTCACTGGCGGCTTGACTTGGGGATCCAAATGTGCTCTCCCTCCTCGCGGCTCCTGCTGCTGATTCGAGGCGCCCACTGGCTTGAACAACACTCTGCACAAAGCCACGACCCTGCAGCCGGCTGATACTTGGCGTTGGATCCTTGGTAGATGAATTGACAGGCGGACACAGAAAGGCAGGGGAGACCCCGCGTGATGGTTGTGGAGAGTAAGTCTGCCGCACAGGGGACGTTGGAGTGACAGATGGAATTGGAGTAGACTGTTGTCTAGGTGTCCAAGAGGGCTGAGAGGAATTTGAACGTGTATAAATTGGGCTCTTCGTGTAGCCAGAATCTGCATCAGGCGTTTTTGCACGATTGGGCTCAGGGTTGGGAGTCTTCGCCCGAGTATGTTCAGGATTAGGCGTCTTGGAGTATACAGATTCTGTCACTGTCTTAGCACGGACAGATTCAGGATTGGGAGTCTTCACACGAGTTTCAGTAACAGGTGTCTTGGGGCGCATCTCCGCAGTGGTGGGGGTTTTCGATCGAGATTCAACGAGGGAACTTGGTGGAACCACAGCAGCTCTGGCACCATAGTTCTGAGACAGACGGTAAGAAGGCGAGTGTGGCGTTTCTACTCTCAGCTGTGCTGAAATGTTGCCCGCGGGAGTGCTTATCCTGCGCTCCCGGATGCCTGGCCCTACAAGTCCTGGGTTCAGAGACTGCGGCTGACTTTCAAGTTGTTCCACATAACGACGGGCGACAGAGGAAGTACTAGTAGTACGGGATCTCACGATATCTGGTGTGGAAGTGGGAAATGCACGAACGGGTGTGCTAGCGGAAGGTGGAGATGTGGCAGCTGCAGGAGGTTGTGCACCTCCTTTGACCATCCCCGGCATAGCGATTCCATTTCTTCCGAATATTGGATGCACGGGACCGTGATCCTTACGCCCATCATGCACAACAGTGGCATCCTGTTGTGGCTCGTGGCGTTTCAATCGAGGGCCAGCAGCCGTCGATCCACCCATAAATGCAGCCAATGACATAGGGGCTCTCTGGGTCGTTGTATTAGATGACACTGCTGCTTTATGTGAAGGTATAGCTCGAGGTGGCTTCTCTGAGGCAGGTGCACTGGTAGTGTTGCCCGCAAGCAGATCATTTGGCGAAGGAGTGACACTAGATGATGATTCCTGTAACTTGCCTATGCAATCATCTACAAGTTAGAGAATATGGAAGTGTCCACGCCAAAAGATACCGACCCAGATCAATGCCATGCATGCCGACGCCGAAATCACCGCTCATGCCTGATGTACTTCGTCTCATCCTCGCAAGTCGTGCCCGTACGATTTCTTCCTCGAGACGACGCTGCTCTGCCTCATCATCCGCGTTGACCTGACGTTGCATTGCCTTGATCTTGCTCGTCCACTCCGCCAGGCCGTTGTCAGCTGTATTGGAAGTGGTATAAACAGGTGCAGGAGGAAGGTCAAAGCGCGGCGAGCGAGGTGTGCTTGTCTGCATCGTGGACATCGACCGACTATATGTCAGTCAGAGAGATTACTCGTTGGCTCAGTGAACAAGGCCTTGGATCGCAGCGTATGGGAACAACTTTGTCTGAACCCTCGAGTCCAGATGTGTGGAGGCTGACGTAATTCCTCATTAAGCTCGCAATTTCCCAATTGCCCCTGCTTTGATTGCAAGAGATCGGTTCATTGACAATATTGTACTCTACGAGCAGACAACATTGGTATAATGTTCATGATAGTAAATAATTCACCAAGCTGCTCAACAGTCCAAATAATTTCATAAGTCCGTTACAAAAGTAAAAGTTAAGCAAAGATTGCAAAGGCGGCTGAAACGGCTGCAACAGCAGCAGCACCCATTTTGAGACTACCAACAGAAAGCGCAATAGCACCACTACTGCTGGTTGTTGACGAGGAATTGCCTGCTGTCGCCTGAATACTAGAAGGCATCTGACCATCTGCCAGAGGATGTGAGCGCATTGACGAAATAAAATGAAACCAAAATTACCTGTGTAGTTGGCACCACATTCGGATGAGAATGAACTTTGAGCAGCGGTAGCAATACCAGGAAGACCCTGACTAAGGACGGTATAGGCGGCCTTAGTGCAATTGGTGCAGATAGCACTCGAGGGAATTCCAGTGCTCCGACCGGACACCAATTTTGTGACAAGTGTGATTATGCTATTTAGCGAAAGAGTCGTCGTGGCAGACTGTATGCCCGTGAGCACCTCAGGAACACAATGAGTGGTCAACAAAATGCTAAAAATTGATCAGAAAAAATGGAAAAGTAAATGATAGTTGCTCAACTCACTCTGTCAAACACAAAAGCTGTCGAACAGTAGGGTAAGAGGCCTGAATGGATGTGACAATAGCAGTGGGATCGGTGGTAATTACTCCAAGACTCGAGAGATCAGTAGAACATCCCGAAATGACGTCTGTTACGACAGTTTGGAGGGTCGAGTTACTACAGGCGGCTTGAGAGCACAAGCCCGAAATCCAGGTGTTGACACCAGGAATAATCGAACTTGAGTTTGAGTTCGTGATAACGAGCGAGATAAGTCCTGATGGATTCAAACATGCGGCACTGGACGAGGTTGAAATGTTAAGCAGTGCACTCTGGCACTGCGAAGAGAGTCCCCTGAGCACAAAAAATATCAGCCCAGTTTCCCCCAAAAAAACACTTTGCTCTAACGTACGATTGAGCAACGGCGAAACCAGCGCCAGCTAGAAGAATTGCAAAGTTGAAGAACATCGTGAATTTAGAGGTTTTCAAGGACTAAGTTATTAAACGAAGGGGAAGATTTGAATAGTTACAAGATTACCGGGGGAGAATTCAAAAAAAAAAGTGGGAGAGCCTGCTGCGCAGTTCACTGAGGTTCATCTGCTTTATATTGTCCACAGTAGTGTGACGGATACCGGGATTCCACAACTTTTTTCGGATGCAATAAATCCTGTGCAGCATAGGCGCATGTTGGGGGCAAGACTGCGCAACCATGGTTTCTGACAATGTCTCGTCCGTAAGTAGTAGGTCAAAATTCTTTTACCTTGAGCGCGCTGGCTATAGTACGCAGCAGTGACCATTGTTTTTGTCATAAAGAAATGTTCCGGCTGTCTCAATTCTCCATTCTATAAGGCCTGCCCAGAGGTGACTATTTTGTCTACCTCGCTCCTATATAAATAGGCAGGACACTCACAGCGGTGTTGTCACATCTGTTGGCATGGCGGTATTGTATGTTTTAGAAATACAATCACCATCTGACCTGGTGCCGATGGGGACCAGACAGTGCAGGCTGACACTGGTACTCAAATTTCAAAGGTGGAGGTCACTTGTTGAGCACTTGTGCGCACCTAATTAGGATACGTAAAGCCGCGGAAGATTCCATAAGAGAAGGTTGCGCCTTCTGTTCAAATACATCCAACGCAATTGCGATTCCTTATCCTTTCACAATTCATTTCTATCAGTGGCCATAAAGATTGACCAACTCACTTGTTCTTTTCGTTCTCCCCTCTTTCTCTCTCTTATTTGTACGGAACTGGGATTTAGTCTTGTATCATAGTACTAGAGGCTATCGCACCCCGCGCAAGTCCCGCGTAGGACACCCTCATTTTACTTGTCCCAAGATCTGTGAGTCTCTCTCTATCTATCTGATCATCGCTACGATAATTCTGATGTCCTTGACGCGTCGAAAGACCATATTCGACGCGTTAAAATTTTAAATCTCTCTAGTGACCGAAACCGTGATGACTAACAATCGCGCAACCAGCCCCGCGTCGCCTTCCCCGTTAGAGCGCTCATCATCGCGACCCGCTGCGGACCACCTTCCACCAAGGCCCTATAGAAGCCTAGTAAAAAAGTCAACATCACGAGCGGAAGGAGTGGTCTGTAAGAAGCGCAAGCGGTCCACGGAAGCACGTGAACGCAAGGATTCCAATGATGGAGACAGGATGTGTCTTGCCCAGAGGCTGCGTCATGATGATGATGCCTTCATTACTGACCGCTATGCACGGTCTGGCCCTTGGCGCGCTCCTTCCTATCGTAAGGAGCACCACCGTAGCAGCTCCCCTGCACCTAACAACCACAAGGACAGCAAAGGCCCCTCGTTCCATATTACCAAATCTTCCGATCGCCGCACTTCTAACGATAAGGGAAAAGAAAAAACGTCTTTACCCTCCCTGAATAATGGATGTTCTGGATCTGTAAGTGCTTGTCATGATGCACAGCACCCTGCATCGCAAGGCATGCCATCTGTACAGTCCGTGGATAGATTTCTAGACAGCATCGATTTGAGCATTACTCCTTCATGCAATCCGGCGCTTGCCAAGAGCAAGGTTCCCGCGACACCAATTCAGCAAGTACTTCCCCCAACTCCTGTATCCATTGCACCCATTTCCCTGCCTTTGCTAGAATCTTCTACGGTTGAGCTTCGACCAATTCCCTTCACTTTTGGACCAGAGAGGCTTTCTCTCTTACACCACGGGCACCCGTTGAGTTACGACTTGAACCTACTTCCTGATGACCCTATTGGTCCTATCACATTGCTTGGAGCAACTCAGAGCGAACCTGGCGCATATCTTGTTGCCGCAGCACACTACAGGCGGACTGGCCGTTCTCGTGCAGCTTGCAAGGTGATTAGGGCCTTGCTTGGCAAGCATGCCCCTGCTACTCGTGCGGGCGGTGTTTTGACTGGGAAAAACAAAGAAAATGGTGAAATTATTATCCTGGAATTATCACTGATTATGTTGGGCACTGACGGCTCTCAAAGGTCCCTTCCATCAGGCTTCCTCATCGCTAGCGAAATCTCCCGCACCTTCCGTATTTACACCCATAGACGTCAACACCACAGCTCACGACGCCGCTGTCTTACGCTCTGCCATTCTCGTTCTCGCAGCCTGTCAGCTGGACATAAGCCGCGATTCTTCATCTCCCGAAGAGAGGATAGCACATGCAACCGCTGCTCAAGAACTTTTTCGTACAATATACGGAACGAAAAACGACTTAATTTCTTCCAAGTCAGGAAATACTAGTACAGATGTGAACGCCCTAGGACTAGCTTTTGCAGATCACACCCGAAAGCTTTCCACCGCCAACAACAGCCTACCTATTTCTATGTCCAAGCAAACATCAGGCGTCCCCACTGCTCCCGCTTCTACTCGTATTCTAGCTCTAGAGGATGAGCTCCGACTCACGCGCATAGCCAAGTCTACAATTGAAGCCGACCTTGCTGCTGCGAAGAAGCGCCAGGAACGCACTGACCTGTCTGTCAGAGAAGCTGAGACCCGTTCTCGTGACGCCTACCGATTACTTGAGACCGAGAGGGATGAAGTTCATAACTTGAAGCGTCGACTCGTAGAGACGGAACGGAAGGTGTCGGAAATGGAACAGTCAGCTGCTGGTGCCGAGTCACGCGTGTGGGTGAGGCTGCGGGACATGGTTTATGATCAGTTTGGGAGCACAAGAGGTTTTTGATGCGTGAGCTAAGTGTGTTTACGTTCGTCTCTTCATCTTTTTCAGAACATTGCGGGGTTTAGAATCAGGACCAGTCATGTGGTGCATCTCATCACAACCCCATCACCATCATCATTGCCACTTGTACATCATATCATTTCCTGCAGCATTCGAGATACCGTGTTTCACAGTCCACAAAAGTGTATGTTCTTGTAATTATCCTCCATGTATGGAACTAGCATAGCGAGAGAATAGGAGGATACGTTCCATTGGAATTGTGTGATGTGAGGAAGCTGAACGTCCACCTATCGTGCCTAAGGTTTACATAAGCGCTAGTAAGCCTCGATATCTCCGACCTTGTAAGGGCCCCAATGACCTGCGTTTCAAATGGCTTACTCCGGCCCACCTTACGGCAGAAGGTACTGTTTCATGTACGTATATCGGACGACTTAAGTAAGTCAGGTAAAGGGTATTTTTAGGTTGGCTGGCATGCTAACCGTTTTTTCCTTGTCCAACTTCATGCAGCATTGTCTGGCCCACCCGTCACTCGCTTAGTCCGCTGTGTTCTCGCGCAGTGCCCCACCTCTCCCGCTGGCATTTTTTCTCGAGTTTCTCCCGGCTAGCACATAATAATTTGTGTTATTTTGACTGATTGAATAGTCACTACATCAGGACATGCAGAATAATTTGTAAGTACTACCCTCAGCCTTGGATCGTCACCGCTATTCTGATAGTGTGTGGAGGATTGTGCAGTTGCAGCTTGAATGTCTATGGACGTGGCGGGTTGCATATGCTACCACAGCACTGTTGTCCTTACTACTGAAAAGGAACGATTATGCTTATTGGTTTATAGTCTGACGGTCTAGGGGGGACTAGCTGGCTCCTAGACCTATATTTTCTTCCCAAGGTCTTGCCCATGGCATGATCATCTACCATAGTAACTTGCCAGCCTCTCCACTGGACTGGCCGTTTCGTCGCTCGTGGGACGACATGCTGCTCTTTCACGCGATTCACACTCCAAGCGAATGTACACTCGCATCCCAAGAGTCTCCTTGTGCAGTCCTCTCCACTTCTGTGTCATTCCCGGCATCCGTCAAAGAAGGTCAGAAGATTGTCCAAAAACGGTGAGGGCTGCGCGGCATTCAAATATTTGAATCCGCGGGTAGTTGGTGCCTCAGCCGATCAGCCAAATGTGTTCTACCCGTTTTTCTCCATCAAGCTTCTAGCCTCTAGGATTCAGACAAACACGCTGGTCTGATGAACTTCTTACGTCCCGGCGCCCACCGTACATTGCACAGGAATGTGGGGGAAATCGGGCGTCGCTCGAGGGATCCGTAGTAACTGTTGAACATACAGACGTGGCAAATGTTTGCATCGTCCGAAATCAATGGTATAATATAGATTTATTTTGTACATACAGCCTGTCCGCAGCTCGGTAACCTGCGTTATTGATGTTACGGTCTTCAATCTAGTGGACATTTCCCATGTAATATTAGTACTAGTCTATAGCTACGGTACGGATCACTTGGCTAGTCTGTGTCGCGTGTAACATACATAGTTTATGTTGAGCTAGCAGGCACTGCCAAATATTATGAAACTACTACTATCTGATCTGTGTAAACGGACAGGGCCGGCCGGTCCAGGGACCGCCTGGGAAATGGATCGTGGTATATTGCCGCAATATTACCGTTCGAATTTCATCGCCTCATTTCCTGCCTCAAACATAACACTGTCCCTGTTCTTTGATTTTCCTATACGTCCCCCTTTGAGTTGGCAGTGTACCGGGTTGTTAATCGGTTATTGACGACGGTGTCGAGCTTCGCTCATTGTTTACGTCGACGGCTAGCCCACGTATCGTTCAGCTGGGGAGCCTTTATTGTTCCCTGGACTCTCACCGTCAATTTTGGTCGGGTTATTTCAAGCGTTATGGCTGCGGTCTCGACCATTATTCAACCTTCGCGACCTGATTGTAGTCCTGTTCCGTCAACTCTTCCCCCGAATCTTCATGTCAATATCTTTCAACGTAGCCTCGCCATTTCTGATCTCGATTTCAAGGACAACCGATACCCCACTCTCACCCTAGACAAGAGCTTCCATAACACTAGTCCCATGATTATTGGGTCCACAGGTCCGCAGACTTGGGGAGCGACTGAACACCAACATCCTCCATCTCGTTCGGAAGCAATGGAACAAGCGCCTCAGGACAAAGAGGATTTCAATGCTGATGACCAACAAGGCCTACAGCTCAATATGATCTCTAGCTCCTTGTCGCAGGGAACAGCCCACCGTATCGGCGAACGTTATAGCCTCGACGATAACGTTCGGACATCCGGCAGCGGAGGGTTGATAAATTCGCATCTTTTCGATGACTCATTCAAGTCCGCTGGGGAGTCTTTCACAACTTTACCTTCACCTCCACAAGCACTTCGCGATGTTCCGGCTTCCCTCAAACCTGCCAGCAACCGGCAGCCCTCTTATCCCCAACTCGATGCTCCTGGTCCATCCAGATTACCACCCCCAAATGGGGTATCCACATCACGATCCTACAGTCCCACTATGGGCATCACGATTCCCATTTCTTCTAGTCCACGTGCATACGCGCAACATCCCACTTACATCACCCCTGCCGCTGCCCCAGATCCGATCAATCCCATCCTCTCCCCAAATCCCCCAACTCCTCCTGAGGAAATATGTGTAGAGTGTGCAATGCGTGACCAGGACATGGCAGATGTAGTCGTAGTCGGTCCTGGGATGTGGGAGCGTGAAAGTGATGTACTCTATGAGGAGTTACTTCGCAGAGAACAGGAGGACGAGGCAGCTGGAATCTTATCATCCGAGTGCTCTTCGAAACCTAGAGCACGAGGCGGACGCTTAACTGAACAAAACATCAAAATATGGCACACGATGGTAAGCAAATCTGGTCGGCTCATCATTAGTTATTTTAATCATTCAAACTAGACTCCTCGAGAGCCAGCATCGAAACAGCAGACTCTGGAGCAGTACGTGAAGGCACAGCGGAGTCTCCTCGAGGCTGAGGCACTTGCACACGCACGTGCTATGCAAGAATCGATGCAACTGGAGCACAAGATGCGAGACACGTACTCACAATTCCGCCGTTCAGCCTATGATTTGAACGGCGGAGTAGAAGATGCTGCTTTTCGTCTCAAGCCACCCCATGTATCCATTGGCCAGAATGGGGCCCTCGGCCATCATATCCGGAGTCCTTCACGTGACCTCACAGTTCTGGAGAACGGTCTCATCGTTGAGCATGTCGACATTCGTAAAGAAGAAAAAGAAGAAGAGCGCCGCCGTAGGAATGAGAAGCGGGATCGTCGCGGCCGGAAGTCTTCTAGAAGTTCTGCAGTGGACGTCACCTCCCTTTATTCGGTCCACAGTCTAGGTCCGCATACTGACAGTGGTCTTGGACCAATGCAAAGCTCGCGATACTCTGCTATAAGCTCCATCAGGCCAGTCAGCTCTCTGACTGCGCCAGCGGACAGGCAGCAAAGTTTGGGTCAGGTTTATTCGCAAGCATCATTCTCAGATGCGCACAGCCGAGGGTCTGCTTCTCCACGACGCTCGCGTTTCTTTGGCTTCAAGAATTTGAGTACTACATGGCGTAGCCAGGATAGTCTCGCTCATTCGGGGATGTCGGGCAGTATGATTGATATGCAGTACGTATTTTCTTCCATAAAAGGGTCATTTTCATGACATATTTGTAGCGTGGCCCTGCATCATGAAAGCACTGGACTTCGCGTACGATCGCCTGTCGGCGATCGGAGTATGCTATCTACTCCCAGACATAGTCAACTGTGGCCACCAGTGGAACCCCAGGAACCCCTTGATACGCCGGTCGATGAGAAGGACAAATCGAAGAAGAAGCGTAAGGGTATTGCAAAGATATGGAAGCTCGTCAGGGGAAACAAAGAGAATCCGCAGGACCATGCGAGCAGCCGAGATTTGGCCCGGTCTCAAGATACTGAGCGGAATGAGGATGACTTGCCTTTGGCGCCTCCACCCCCTTTGTCATATCTGGTCGAAAGAGGACCAGGAGAGCACCTGGGAAGCAGTGGGCGCCACGTGTCCACTCCATCGCTTCCTTCGACATCCTCGCCGCGCAACCAATTTTCTTCTTCAGGCATGTCCCCTTCGACAGCGCCGTCTAGCCTCCTTCCCTCACCTACTTCTTCACGTCCATCAGGCATAGATCGTGATGCTGACCGCAAAAGCAGCGCACAAATTGACGAGAAAGAGAATTATGCCGTTGTTGCTGACGAGAGCGGCAGACCAAAGTCACTTCATCCTGTTATCTCCGAGCCTGATATCCGTCAGAAGCTCCAGCAGAATACTTTTGCCTCCACCAATGGCATGACACTTCCCAGAACGACCAAGCCACAAGTCATGCTCTCTCGGGAAAAATCTTTGCCACCCCTTCCCGGTGAGGTCAAACTTCGACCGAATAATCCTGGTGCGGAATCACGGCCGCAGACACTATACACCTATGATCCTCGTCAGGTTGGTCAGGAATCTAGTGATCTTACTCTACCGCACGCCCCATTCCGCACAGAACCCAGACGACAGTCTTTCAGTGGTTCCACCTCCCGTCCTAGCCTGGGTATTCAGACCATGATGCCCTTGGGTGCACACGATCCTTCAAAAGGTCCTGGTGGTATGTACAATGAGTTTGGCATCTCCAGACGCTCGCTTGGCCCCTTGGAGCACATCGATGAAAATCCTCAGCCATTTACACCCAGTAAGCGGAGGAGCAGATTTGGACTTGCGTCCTTGCTGGGCAGGAAAACTACACAGCCAGAGCCAGCCAAAGGTAGCGACTCGCATGAATTCCCGCCGTTAACGACGTCACTCTTCGAGGGGGAAGATAACCTCACGACAACATATACCCATTCCATATCTCGCCAAAGTGCAGGTCCGCGTATGTCTATCACCTCCCGCAAGGCGCTGGAGGAGCGGGTCGAGCAAGACCGAGAATTTATCGCGTATCGCTACCCCTCCCATGACCAGCGCCTTGATATCCTGCGGTGACGCAACACCATCGTTCATGCCCCCTTTCACGTTCCCTGCTGTTTCCTCGCATGACGACCTTATCTTGTTTAGTGTCTGTATATCATCCTGCGTTACATCCTCCGCCTCTGCATTTTACTTAGCTTTCTACATCCATTTTTACCAGGAACAAATGCTCGCGTTCTCGCTCCAGGACTTTGACTGCATGTTTTTCGTATGTAATCATCACGGTCATTTCTGCTTACTTTCACGTTACTTCCACATGTAAATGCATGCATTCATCGCTTGAACCGTTTGTAATTTCCGATTAGGTAACACGTGACCTATACTGGCTTCCTCGCGCGACGCGTTTCACTCCTTGAGTAATATCTTCTACGTTTCCTCTGTAAAGCAAACAAGTCGGAACACTATCTCTGTTTGAAAAATGGTATGGAATCCTTTGGTCGTTATTGGTTGGTCATGCAACATTTTTAGGCACCACGAGGTCTGTCTTTGGAAGAGAAACGCACTAAGTTATTGGAGATATTCCACGACTCAGTGAGTTATCACCCGTGCCTTTGCAATTTGATCTTTCCGAACTGACAGAATATGGGTGTCAGAAAGACTTCTATCAAGTGTGACCTATCTTATCTCTCAGATGACTTATTCTGACTTTCGATTGTTCTATAGTTGAAGGAGCTTGAGAAGCTGGGTCCCAAGCTCAAGGGAATTGGTATGACTATTTTTCACACTAATCGGATAACGCTTAAAAGATCCCAAGTTTCCCAGACGGTCAAAGAAGTCTTACAGTCCCTCGTCGACGATGGCCTTGTCCAGGGTGATAAAATCGGTGCTTCAAACTGTATGCCTCCAAACCTGGATATATGCGCTTGATATGCGCAAGAACCCGGATGCTAACCATGTTTGAAGTTTTCTGGAGCTTTCCTTCGCAAAGAGGAACTATTGTTGAACTGTTCGCTTTTCAAGATGCGAATTATACTGACATGTGCACGCCATAGGTCCAAAACCGCCTAGACAGCGTGAAGGAGACAAGGGCCAGTCACGAGGTTCAGCTAGCTGAGCTAAAAACAGCTATCGAACACGAGAGAACTCTCAGACCCCTAAGTGTTGGTTTCATTTTCATCCGACGAATAATAAATAATCAGGGAGAATTAGGACTCTCGCGCGGCAGCGTTGGAGCAGCTTACTTCCTTGAAAAAGCAACTCGCTGTTCTACAAGAAGAAATCGATGCTTACGGCGCTTGTGATCCTGTGAAAGTTGAAGAGAAAAGGAGAGCTGTCACACTGGCACATGAGGCGGCAGTACGGTGGACAGGTCAGTAAATGCCCGTCAAATCATTTGCTATTTAGCAACAACCTCTTCAGACAACTATTCCATCCTTCTTTCACATTTCACTCGCCAAACTGGGATGGACGCACAAGACATTAGGAGGTATTTGGAGATCGGGGATGATTATGAGGATATCTTCTGAAGTTTTGTCCATTCGTAACAATTACACTATGTCTGAATCACTCATACAAATGCTTTCTCTGTCGTCACTAAAATTGCTACTGCGTGCCCTCTCCACTGATATGATGACTGGTCGCGATGCAGCTTTGAATGTAGACAATTCGTTGATCGATGCGGCAGACCCACTATCCCGCGAGTTGAGGCTCACAAGGAGGGTATTGCAGTATAGCGAACAAAGAGGTAAGTCGAACAAGACGTACACCGCCGTATTTGGAAAGCCAAGATACTGAAAGCGACATGAGCACAAGAAATATCCGAATTGTCATGATGACTCACTGTAACTATGTCGAGAATAGCGAATAAAGTGGTCCAAATTCCACTCAACACAGAGAAAACGATCAAGCGATAGATCATGTCACTCAATCTATTCACAAGAACAAGGTGTTCAGCAAGAGTCAGACTTCTTCCAGAAGAGAACTCACGCAAACGACATGGCTTGTCTGTGCAACATGCGCAAATATTTGGCCAAAAAAAATGCAGTCGCAATATTAACAAATGCCATGACGGCAAGATAAGAAACCACGATTCCCTTTCAATGAATGTGAGGTTGCATAATGGGACAGACTTTGGCATTTTATTATCACCTTCAGCGACGCGGTAAAGAAAACATTCTTCCCACTTTGAAAACTATGACGCGTTCCTGACAGTAGATCTGATGTTCGAGCGAAACCCTCACCTCTCAGCGACACAATCTATGGATGACGTTTAGTCACAAAAACATCGAGGAGCCACAAACGTACAAATTGCAGCCCCAAGTTCAAAAAGAGCCAAAGGGATCTATTTGGAGCCATCTTAAGTGTAGACTTTAGTACACAGCCGAACTGATCCTGACCCAGAGCGAGGGGAGCACCCTTGATCTCGTTTCGCTGACTTCACCAAGACGTTAGTTAAGTATGTCAGTCTACAAACCGCGTAGACCTACGTCTTTGTGCTTTGACGACAAATATTCCTTGCACAGAAACAGAAACAAGGGCCTAGTTATCTCAGGAATGAGCACACGCGACGAAAGGTTCAGATTATGATCTTACCGAGAGAAGAAATCCAGTCTGTGCTGCATTAGTGCAATATATGATCGTAATGCTAGACGACTCACTGAGGACACCCTATAACAATATTAATCTCATACAGAAAAGTGGCATGACATGCAGGATACTTACGGAAGGACCATCTCAAAAAATGAAAAATCTCCAAAGTGAATGACTAGGTAAGCGTACGCTGCACTTGATGTCTGGAGATTGCCGGATCAGAGACAAATATCTTGCTTACCTCCGTGCATTATCAGCATTGTCTGTGCAGCGTTCATCATACTAAACCACAAACCACAACGATATTAGCAGGAAACATTGAAAGACTTGCAGGTGACAAACAATATAATAGCGACCTTCGGTAAGCTCAGGAACGTTCACGGAACAGAGACGACAAAAAGAGATTCACCGTAGTTTTTAGCCATCGATCATCTCTGACATAACTATAAATTGGGTCAAGCAAGCACTTGCACCACTGGCAGAGTTTACCAACCGGGTATAATAAGAAAAGCTAGAAAATGGTGAGGATGCAATTGAGTATATGCGTGATTGCTCACGTTTGCACGCAAGACACTCCCCAAAGTATAGCGCAGAGAACTGTTGAGAGGAAATAAGCTCCATACGTTACTCCGAGAGGAAACGGCGGCATCGCGATCAACGCGTTAGAGAGTAAGGAAGGGACACTAACAGACAGGGAAAAAAAGGTAGTATCATTTCTGGGCACGTTTTTTGAGGTGGGATTCAGATTAGCGTCACCTGCCGTTACTGTCACTGTAAAATTAGACCCCTGATAAGACTTGTTCGCTTATGAACACTGAGAAGAAAGGCTAGGCACACTGAGAAAGAAAGGATATGGACACCTCGTCGGGAAAAGAGAATCTGAAACTTGCCAATCCATTGCCGCTGCAAACGGTTTCGAGACCAAGCAGTGAATATCATCACCCGGTCAGTTATTCGCACAACGCTGTCGTCGGCGGGTTTTGGAGCTATATCCATCCTATACCCATGAAGCAGACCAAATTGAGGAAGAACCCTCCGTAGCCATGATGGAGCACTGGACACAGGGTGTTTTGCCGTACTTCAAGACGTACGTGTTGTCAGGGATCATGGGATCAAAGCACCGGCAGTGCCAGTTGTGCACGGTAACTTACCATTTCCTGTGTTGCGGCAGAGTTCCAGCTATAGAAACCTTTAATTAGACTCGTTTAGAGTTTTCACCTGAATTATTACGGAGGGTTCGAAAGCGAAAATTTCGGAATAGGACACTCACAACTAATTTCAACTTAAGCAGTGCAGGAAAGCGACATAAAACAAACTTGGATGCGAGAACTGCGTATGCATACCAGCGCTGGTATGTACATTGTGACTCGTTAATCGCAAATGTCAAAAAGGCACCCATGCGTGCCATGGGCAAAGAGATGTCATAAGTCGACCTCGCTTGTCAAAAAAAAGTTTGATGCTTATGGTGAGCTTACGGCTCTGGCACGTGATGGAGCAACGCGATTGAACCAATTATTCAATAAGCGGTGTGCTCAATTCTGAACTTGTCAAGTTGCCAGCTAATCGCTGAACTAATCAGCGCCGAAACATTGTGAATGGTCTACCATGCACCTCATCGGTTCTAAACCATATTTCCTAGCTAGTAAACATGCCTAATGTCGCTTATATTACTAGTACTAGCATATCTGGTCGATAAAACTTCACTCGAAGTTATCTCGCGCTGATTTCATCTGATAAAACCCTCTTCCTACTAAGTTTAAGTGGCCGTCAGGGATAGACAGACACTGAACCAGGTGATTTTTAATTCTCAGTGTCAAGGTTACAGGAAAGGAATAGCAAGGAAATTCTACCATGTGCGCAACTTTGTATGTATGCATGCCCAATTCGAAAGGGTACTACGTAAAGCTACTCTGGTGTATAGAAATAGTATGGCTGGTTCCCGCAGGTTTTATACTGTCGGTAAACTCAAGTGGCAAGAGTGGAACTACGATATCCGGCGCTACAAATATGGACCTGTCGATGACTGCTAGGCTGGTTCTTGCAAAGATGCTGAGCCACAGAATGAAGACAATGACTATCAGAGATGGTAAGTAGGTCTAGAAAATAACAATGACGGATATTCTGACCTGTCCACGCTGCGCCAAATCCACGGAAAATGTCGCTGTTCAGAACGTTCCCAAGCTTTATCGAGAGAAGGGCAAATACAGCATTCGGGAAAATCAACCCTTGATACGTGATGGAAAAGGGTATAGCCCCCTCATTTCTGAGCACACTCAATATAGAGTTGGAGGAAATGATGATCCAACAGATGCCCATCGACCATAGGATGTAAGCTCCACAGAAACAGAACGAGAATATTATCTGCCCTCCAGCCTCTGGGAAAGTGCCAGAGACGTACAGCGGAAGGATTTCAGACAGGTTCTGGCCATTAATAAGTAGCGAGTATCCTCCCTGACCGAAGGGACCCAATGCGACGAAAGAAGACAAAACAAGCAGCTTCTCTGGCGGACCGCTTATGACAAGGCGTGCGAGGTACACCGTGATCATCATCAACGCGAGACTGAGACCAATGATAACCATAGTCAACGAGAACAGCGCTGTTGATATGGCCAACTCCATCGACTGAGCTTTTAGCGCAATTGAGAGCAAACCGCCGGTTGAAGATGCAACGATGAGACTGATAGCTGGGAGTAGCCAAAAAGCAGTCATGGTATCAAGAGCGTGTTTCTGCTCCACCATCCTGTCAGCCACACCATTAATGATACACCATGAAAATTCGAACTTCTGTACTTACATCGCATGCAGCATTCCAAAAGCGATGAGGTACGACACAATGGAGTCGAGCCACCAGCAACCCCAGAGGGTATATAGAAAACCAGTGCCTCCAAAGTTCCATTCTTGATGGGCTACCTATAAATAAGAGACCATCGACAGTAAACATAAACGAACAACAGCAAGCTTACTAATGCTATATTGATCAATGTCGTAGCTCCCGCTGGAAATGCACCCATGAGTGGGCCCTGAGTTGGATGTCGGATCATCTTGAGCCAGGTGTCAGGGAACATTATGTATCTCGCGACAGTCGCCCCAGTAAACAAGACAAAGAGCAGGAGATTAAGACAAAAAACCATCAAAGTGACGACCTTGATCGCCGGACTACCGTTCCAGTACGGAAATGCGTGAACCAGGGCAGACGTACCCCCAGTGCCCATAATCACTGTATGCCAGGCCCAAGTAAAATTCCTGTTGCACATTGATCAGGAGGCTACCATGGACATAGTGTCGTGCGTACCGTATACATTCTCTCCATGATTTACGTGGAGGTCCCCCCAGCATATCAGCGAGGCTAATCGAACACTGGAGGCAGGCAAGATATCTGCACTCAAGGAAGAGGAGTCGTACGTCTGCAACCTATGACCCACAGTCCCCCATTTCCAACAACATATATATGACATCTTGGACTCATTGGATTCCAGTTCGCGCCAGCTCAAAGCCAGCTGTACAGTTCAAATGATGCCGAGGAATATTTTGGGGTTAGAGTTTTCCGTTTGACAAAGCGTCCATAAGCATTTGCCATGGGTTGTGGACAGAAAACCTCCAATTGAAACAGGAAAGAACAGGTACACCTCGATTATCTACTCCCAGCGAGAGTACAACCTGCGTTTTGTCGAGGAAACCTCTGGTCAAATTATATGACCAAACGAACAATTCGCGGGTACTCACCAATGACTGCAGTACGACTACGTAGCGGAGATCCGAGAAGGCGTCACAGCATAGCGCTGTCCTACTCTAGACCACACTAGACGTGACGCTGGGGGTGACATCATTAACCAGACTCGTAACCAAACTACACGTCAATTTGATATACGCCACAAAAATTGCACCAAACTGGTCATGAGCGCTGAGCCTCACTGACGCGGCTCTGCCATTCCTTTGACTTTCCATAAACAAGTTGACAACACAGCTTATGCGGAGGTCCGTTACCTACATGCTGTGAGTCTATTTCAAGTCTATATGACGTGTATTCTTCTAGGCAATGAATTGTGGACCGATAAGACATGCGGCCGTTAGTGGGAAATTATTGAATCACCTTGTGAAACATCTTCAATACTGCGGTCCTCACACTCTCCGTCGGCACATAACTGTGGGATCCAGCATTGTCTCTGCACGAAGACGCCAAATCCCTTTTCGGTTCAGAAACTACCGAAAGGGATACCTCGATGAGTGGGTTTAGGGTCTCGAGGGGTTAAAGGCCACAAGGCTCGAGGTCTGAAGCTTCCTAGCCCTCCCCAACCGTAAACTACCCTGCGTGGGTCATGGTTACTGGATGCGACTGGCCAATCATTGGACGCGGTTGTAGTCGTGCGACGGAACCTGTACTCCCACTAGGTATATAGGCTCAGTAGTATTCCTGAACAGAACGAGAAGGTCGGCGCGGTTGGCGTAGCGGTAGTCCCCTGACGAGGACTTTCGCATGTTCGAAACCGCTGCCATCCCCGCCATCCTAGTGCCTAGCAAATCGACCCTAATCCTAGGAGACGGGTGACTGCAGCAGGTGCTAAGAACGTAGTTCGCCTCGCGACACTCTGCTGAACGCTTGGGCTTCACTTATCTAAGCCAGTCGCTAATAATGGGTGAATCGGAATAATCAACTTAGTATGAAGTGGTGGTAATTTATACACCTGCCTCCGTGCGCGATCTTAGGATAAATGAAAGAGAAATCTGTTTACAAGACTTTGTACACACCAGAGATTGATGGGGATACGGAAGGCCCATTTTACAGCCTTGTGGAATTATTTAGTTACTAGAGGACAGGTCGACCTGCGAGATGCCTCGCCTCAGAAATTGCATGTAAGGAGGTTGGAACGTACGTAAATCTCTCCGATATCTTGTTCAGTTTTTCAAATCGTCTGCACTTCTTTCCGCATCCCTCGTTGGTCCCCCCATTGTGACCTCTTCCAGACACGGAGCTTCAAATATACGACCGCTTGGGACCATCCGTATTGTAGGTAAGGCAATACACACCCACAATATCAGGGTCCCCACCGAATATATCGAACCCCACACACGAAAGAACGTCGACGAAAATGTTGTCGCCAAAGCCAAGTTGAGATTTGCGTATACTCCCTGTGAAAGGTCGGATTGAGCGCGTCACCATTAAAAAGCCGCAGATACGCACGTTGGGAAATACAGTTCCCCAGAATGACAATCGGAATTCAATGCGTTCCCGACGGAGGGTGTAGCCGAGACCGAGCATCGCAAAGAGTATCCACATACTCGCCAGTGACCACAGAACCATAGCACCAACTACACATATCACCTCCACTGCTTCTCCGGTTCCAGATTGCCTCAATAATCCGCCGACATCACCATAATTTAGAGGTAATAGTGAACGAAAAGAAGACCCCAACTTTAAAAGTGAATATGCTGCCTGTCCACAAGGACCGACGGGGAGAAAGACGGACAGGATTGATGCACCCGTGGGGTAACCGTATACGACCAGCCGAAGGATGTATATCGTGAGTAGCATAAGGGAAAGGGTAAGACCTATTGTAACCATACACGCGGAGAATGTCGCCGTTAGCAACGCATACGAGGGAGAATAGACCTGAAGCGCTGGCACAAGCACGCCTCCAGAAGAAGATCCGACGACGAGGGTCACGACGGGAAGAAGCCAGGCAGTCGTCATGGACTTGAGCGAATGTTGTTGGAGAGTAATCCTATGGGACTTATGTCGACTCCAGCTCATCTTCGTGATTCGTGAACCACTTACATAACGTGCATCATGCCAAAGCAGCATGCCATTGAAATCGCGACGTTGATCCACCAACATGCCCACACCGTGTAGATAAACGGCTTCCCTCCAAAACCATATGTCTGGAATATGTCGCTACCGGCAATGTTTATTAACGTAGTCGCGCCCATCGGAAACGTGCCAATGTACAAGCTCTGTACAGGATGCCGTATCATGTGAAACCAGATGCCAGGGAAAAAAATGTAGCGAGCTGCAGTGATGACGCTGAATAGCAGAAAGAGCACAAGATTGAAGAAGAAAAAGCCGAGTGCAAACCCTCGCATTACCGGGGAATCACCTGCATAAGGAAAGTTATGGAAAAGTATGGCGATTGAGCCAGTCCCTACAAATATTGTCAACACAACGCATAGGTAGGTGTATTTCGACTCACCCATTGTAACAGCAAACCATGCTGGAGTGAAATGCCTGAGGATGGTAAGTAAGGACTTCGCACGAGTCGACCAGTGGACGTACTGAACAATATCTTTCAATGATTTCCTACGAAGAGTAGTTGAGCCGATGTCTCCGATACGATTCATGGTACTAGTGTCGAGACTGTGTGAGTTGGGAAGCGTGCGACGTTGAAGCATGTTGTCCGACTGGACCCCTCAAGGTAATAGGTCTCATGGAACTCGTCATGCCACACGGTCCACACCAAAATATCTTGAGTCGCTCCTAGGAGAGAAATTTGCCGCGGCGTCTCAATTTGATTTTCGGCACTTAATTTGAATTACCTAATAAACAGACTACACCGCCACATCAAGTTAAGATACGACAAAGAGGTATAGCGAGTACATGAGTACCCGTGGGTGTGTATTCTAAGACAGTGTGCTCATGCAAAGGTATATGTAAACAGAAGAAAATGGGCCGACAGAGGGTAAGAGGGTAAGAGCTACACACCATCCAAAGCGCCCTTCAGCCATTGATGTCCGCGCACCTCGTTGATTTTGGCACGTAGCTGAGGGTTGGGTTCGAGACACCTGCTCATGAGATGCAGGCATGAGTCACCAAGCCCCTTCCCTGGCAGCTCGGATAGGACGATGTGCCCCGCAATGGCATCCGCTTCGGTGGGGAATGGGGACATCCCGGTCAACAAGTATGACATCAGCACACCGAGGGTCCAGATCTCCGCAGGCGCGGCTTGGTAGGATCGCTTAAGGAGCACCTCCGAGGCGGCGTACGCAGTAGTACCAAAGAAGAGTTTGTAGTATGGGGACGGTTCATTAGGGTTCTCTATTGCGGCACTGCCAAAGTCTATGAGTTTGACCTAGACACGCCGTCAGTGAATAATAATAATTTTATAAAATAGAACTCTACCTTGAAGTCTTTGTCGATGACAAGGTTTTCATCTTTAATGTCTCTATGATAAATTCCTTGACTGTCGAGGTAATGTACTGCCTCAACCACCTGGGCCATGATATACCGGGCTTGTTTCTCTGAGAGGCGTTTATATTTTGTCTGTTCTATGCATTCAAAAAGGTCATGCGAGGGGCGGCGCGTATAACAAGGACGGGGTGGTTCGAGAGTAGATGTTTTGCGCGAGAGATGAAGTGAGTGGTACTGCAAGTCATCATTTAAGGGTGAATCGCATCCTTCCACGAGAACTGAGGCCGGAAGATGTCCTGAATCCTGCGGTGGAGTTTCTGGCTCAGAGTCCGGAACCGAAAATTCAGACGCAGCGGGAGATAATACGGGTGGTGGCGAGCTGAAGTGCGGGATAATGATCTCATCAAGGGCAGAATGCGGATGAGCATCATACGATTTTTTGCGTTTGTGCCACGGAGAACCATGGAGTTCTTGAACCTACTGTTCGCTGAGCGGTGTAAAAAACCCATATCGCGAACATGACTCACGAGGTAGAAAAAGAGCTCATCCTCGAAGAATTCGAGACACTTGATGATATTCTCGTGTTCTACGAGATGAAGTACCAGTACTTCTATGGGGATTCGACCATGGACCTCGTCCTCCATCCACGCTTGCTCCGGGACCTTTTCTTTAATGATGAATTTGACAGCGACCTCAATGTTCTCCTGGCGGTCGACCGCGGTCATTACAAAACCATATCCACCTGAGCCGAGTTCATCGCAAAGGCGGTAATCATGAACAAAAGTCTCGAGGAGTCTGTGGTCTTCCGGAAAGCGAGGGGAGTAGTTACGGCCCAAAAGAGATGCTGAGTGAAGAGCAGGAACAGATGCAACTGGTAGAGGAGATTCTATAATTGAGGATGGAGAGGGATATTCATGTTCGTACGAGAGCAAGAGGGATCGCATTTCGACGTCACGGGCGAATGGGGACGGTGAAGGGCAACAATTTGACGGATGGATGGCGGATGAAGAAGTTACGTGGCGAGATGGGAGGTATGGACAAGGTAGGTCAAGATTAAGATACTCTGAAATGTTATTGCCGCTATCCGAATGAAACTCGGCGCGATCTCCATCCTTTGGATTTCGGCGTTCAACGAATGAGCTGGAGAGACTTGTGTCTGGACAGCGGGACTTCTCGTGACTAGCATCACGGCTATTAGTGAACAGTGCAGCTAAACGACGAGAGCTCTGCATTTTGAGAGTTAAAGGTGATGATGGCATGGGGTAAGTCAGAGTTGATGAAGTGTGCAAAGCCGAGATAGGATGTATCTTTCCCGACGTTCAAGTTGTTGCACCAACGCTGGCAAGATGAAAGTCTCAGTTCAAGAGATATAATGTTGAACCACATCGATGGAAGTGGCTTTCTCGGGATATACCACTTGGAATCCAGAGAGCGTGCCAACCGATCCAAAGCAGGCAAGGTTCGTCCCAGTGGCACAATTACTATCACAAATCCACTTTTCCATCCTTTTCTTGTCTCCTGGGCATTTTGATGACCACCATCATTATAATCTGATATGCCCATTCATAATCGGACTGGAAGCTTAAGGGGAAACGGGCTGATGCATTAAGTCACATTGACGGCCTAAAGCTCGTCAACAAACTGTGTTACCAAATGGGGAGAGTCGCTGACTTTCAAAAAAAAGGAGCGCCTACACCCAGCATCGTGACCAACCAAGTATTAAAATATTAATGTTCAATAGATTCACGACGATAAAAATACAAGATAGATACAGCCACAAGAAATTCTACAACTCTCAATTCTGGCGAAATACATGATTATGCTGGTGATGTCCAGAGACACCTCTGGCTTGATGCATTGCTGACAGTGAGGATAGCAAGGTAGGACAAGCCTTTATTTTTATGGCAATCATTGAACATACTTGGACTAAATATTCTTCTACACTAACCTCGCACGAATCGTGGCATTGACGGAGTTTAGTTACAACACAGCCACATAAATTACAGCCTCGTGGCTATATTAAGTTACTTGGTAAGCGGCGAGCATTGGACACGCGTGGCCTCAACTCTCGAGGGCTCATATCAACCTCACGCAACGAAAGAGCATTGAAAAGGCCTTGAAGTCATATAGGCGTCTTATTTCTCGGTTCCCGGGATTCATCATGGTCCACTCTGCCGGTTATCAACAGTTGCCTCAAGATGTTGAAGATGAAACTATCGTCGAGGAACAAAATACGGAGGATCACGCTAAGGCTGTCCGCGGACGCAGTGCCCGAGCACACAAACCAGGTCACATAGACTTGCGAAAGTTAGACAATGCATTCAAAAGGTGGGCAAGGGGCTTGCTGAGTTACGATATTAGTCTCGAGCTAACCCGTGTCTCCAGGTGGACTGAATCTATTGCGCAGAAAGTTAAACGGAAGAAGAAAGTCGAAGACTACTCTCGCAAGGAGATATGGCAGAGTGTCTTTGAGCCGTGTGCGCCACATTTTGCCATTGGGAGCGGAAGTGACATCACCGTAAGTCCTGTGGTTTTTACTATCAAAATGCGCATGGCTCCTACTGTTTCATGTTGATAGTAACGTCTTGGTTCACAGGTAAAAACACTTGATCACAAGCCTCCCATATCTCAGGCAACTTTCGACAAGTAAGCTAGGATTATTGGGAATCCAATGCCGAGCTCATAATAAACAGTTTAACACAATCAGTGCGAAATGCCATATCAGCTGGAATCCACCCGAAGATGATCGTGAAAGGGTCTTCTGGATCCTACTTTGCTCGTGCGAAAGTTGATGGGAGAGTCCAGACAGTTGCGTGAGTATCGAGTATCATGTTTCAGTAACATGACAACTTACCATATATCAAAACTAGTGTATTCAAGCCTAAAGATGAGGAGCCTTATGGGCGCTTGAATCCTAAAGTGCGTGTCTTTATAATCGACCAGACTTTCACTCACAAATCTTTCAGACCACTAAGTGGCTACATCGGCAATTTAGATGGATAATTCCATTCGGACGGGCCTGTCTGATACCCAATCTCAGGTAATTCTATACAACTCAGAACAGCAGCTCACCCCGCGTGACACTTACCGTCTCAAGTTACATCTCAGAGGCTGCGGGATCCTTGCTTGACGAACGTCTTGGGCTTAATGTTGTCCCTCGTACACAGCTCGTCTCACTATCTAGCCCTGTGAGTTCATGATATACTTTTTGGAATTCCTGGCTAAATCCTCGTGTTTTAGGCCTTCTTCTATGACTGGATTGACAGAAGTGCAGCCAAGAAAGGTAAACCACTACCTGAAAAGATAGGAAGCATGCAGTATTTCTTGCATGGATACACTGGTTGTGTTTATATTACTTACTTGTTATGCATGAACTCATCTACAAATCATCAGATGCGTCAGATTTCCTACGGAAGCATCCTTGGCCCGGCCGCTCTATCGCAGACACATTTGACGATTCATCGCACCGCAAAGGTCTCCCTACGAAACGATTTCTTAGCGCACTGAAAATAGTATGCGGGAGGACTGGTGACGAAGACATAGAGGATGAAGATCCAGAGGAAGAACGTGCTCTTTTCGACGTTACTGAAGACAACGAATCTGGACGTCCGTTCTATTGGTCGCGAGCGCTTCAACAAAGTTTTAGAGAAGAACTAGAAAAGTACGTTTGTCGGCTCTCTTTGCATCACAGATTCTCATGCTGCATCCCACTCTGAACTAGGCTTGTGATACTTGGTGATACCCTCTCTATTATATCCCTCCTGATGACTAACCCCGCGAACAGACTACCTAATGCTAAATACTGACCGTGGAGCTGATAATTACATGATCAAGTACTGTGAGGGCAGCCACGAGAAACTGGTTGATGTTGCCCCTCAGCCTTCAGCTCATCCTCAGATGCCACAGATTCGTCGTGCTGAGACACATTCCCCGTCATCACAGTCTACTGTAACTTTCGCCAATGCCATCCCTCCATCTCAAGCTAACGCTGCTTCGTCTGACTATATACGTCAGCCACATATACATATTGCAGCCATAGACAATTCGCTCTCGTTCCCTCATGAGCATCCTCGAGGCTGGCGGTCGTATACCTATGGGTGGCTGTATCTCCCTGTCAACTTGATTGGGCGTCCTTTCAGTGAAAAGACGCGAGCGCATTTCTTACCCCTCTTGACCTCTAATACTTGGTGGGAGGAAACAACCTTCCAGCTTC